ATGTACTGTGCGAAATCAATCGATCTTGCAAGAATAAAATTTGGACATCCCTCTTCTAAGAATTCCAATTGAGTGTGTTAGTGTGGCCAGCTCAGGGCAATATGATATTATAAACACAGCACATATCACGTCTCTGCTGTTTATAACTTCATACTAAAGAAAACACGCCATTCATAACAGCTTGGAGGAGGAAAGTTCTACCAGAAGCAACAGGAATTTGCTGCAAGACAGGCATATGTAACGNATTGAATATTTGACGCAATAGACAAGGTGTCGCAGAAACCGATGTTGCTATAACCAAGTTTTACTCTGGGTTTATGATTGATTCTTCGATTATCCAGTGAGTTTATGATTGATTCTTAGATTATCCAGTGAATAAGAAAGGCTGTTGAAGGAATAGCGTGTTGACTTTTTTTAAGGTGCTGTCTTGGCATTTTCAGTGTGTGTGTAAATTCAGTTTCTTAAAATAGAGTTGCTTCTGTATTTTCTATTTCATCATCCTGTATCAGTCTGCAGATTATGTGATGCAGTGATGTGTGGTAGATAGATACTGTGACGTGTCGCGCTATGCGGGACACCCCCCCCACCCCCCTGCCGGCGGTGACGTGCCAAGCAGAGCCGAAGCAAGCTGAGTCCCGGCGCACTGGTCACTATGCAACGCGGGTAAACAGTGGTTGTGAGAGACAACTCCCGACAGCGTTACCAGTAACATTGGTAACCACGGCACCAGACAGCGGTGGTGCCTATTACGTGGCTGTTTTCTGCGTTGTCCGGAACGAGCATAGATACAGAGCAGCGAAGACTATTCATAGTCAGTTCCGAGTTAGCCAGCGGTCAATTCTGAGTTCTCAATCTAGCCAGCGGAGAGTAATGAGTTAGCCAGCAACCAGACAGTTGTATTCTGGCATTTGCAGTCTAGTTTTTGTGATACTGCAGATAGCAGTAATTGTGAAGCTGTAAATTGTGTGATTGTAAGAGCGAATGTGGACTCAAATTCGCTATATCCAGTAAGGCGTGAGGTTATTTGTTGCGTTATACACCCAACACGTGACAATACCAATGTTTCAGAGGAGTCTGCTCTGTCCATCAACCCTAAAGATGGAGGTAGAAAGTTCCTCAGAAATATTAGTACTTGTCTACCAAACTGTGTGGCATCATAACTCAGAAGACTGTAATCTTAATATTCACTGGTGTGGGAACCTCAGGTCCCTAACATCCATGCTACCAATCTGTGTGGCTGAGAAAGTGCTTTTAACCCGTTGCCGTGGTTCGTCGTGTATGTTTCGTCAGGGATTTAAATCGTCTGGGGGGGTTCGACGTGTATGTTTCGTTCAGCTGCACACCTATGTTATAACGCCCATAATAATTGATGGTTTTGCTGTAGATTGTTAGATTTTTCGCTGGCCTGTTGTCAGTAGAACAGAGTATAAATAAGACACGACTTTATCTGTGCCAAGTCATCGTTACATATGCCTGTCTTGCAGCAAAGTTCCTGTGGTTCTGGCGAGCGGTTTCTAGCTGTACTGTTANCAATAATGAATCACATTGTTCCTTGGATCAATTATATGGAACTGTAAATTATCTATAGCAAATCTTCCTTATAAATACAATTCAGAATCTGAACTCATGGAAGTTGTAATGGAGTTTTGGTGAATACAGTGGTAACCTGAGATAGAGTAGTTGGTACAATGACTGGCTATGGGCTAAAAGGCCAAGGGATCAGTATGAGTCCCAGCAGAGGCAAGATTTTTCTTCTTTCAATGTAGCCCAGACCAGTTCTGGTGCGCACCCAGTCTCTTATCCAGTGGATACCAGGGGCTTTTTCACCAGGAATAAAGTTGTCAGGGTTTGAAGGTGACCACTCACCACTTGCTATTGCCTAGGTCAAGAACACATTGATCTGTATGTCCACTCTCCCTCATGTCTTCATGGCATAGTTCTTAATTAGTTAAACACAGACAATTTTACCTTTTTTACCTTACAGTCATGGTAATGTGGTTTGTTTCATTTGAACAGGTGCTGATATAGCTAATGTGTGTAATGAAGCAGCTTTAATTGCTGCTCGAGATTTAAGTGATGCCATAAATATGAAAAACTTTGAACAGGCGATTGAGAGAGTTGTGGCTGGTATGGAAAAGAAAACCAACGTCTTGCAGCCTGAAGAGAAGAAGACGGTAGCATACCATGAAGCCGGGCATGCCGTGGCAGGATGGTTCCTGCAGTATGCAGATCCTTTATTAAAGGTTAGGATGTCTTCTGTGGTATGAAAGTCTTGTAATGAGAATCGGTGTGTTTCAGTTCAATAATACACAGAGGTACAATTTCTGCTACTCGTATTAAAAGGGTTTATGACTGTGATGGTTTAATTTCTATAAGAAACTTTTCTTGCAATTTTGTACTTGTTGTCACTTTAATTATTCAAGTTTACAGACAATAAGAGATTGGAGGAAAGTTATGGAAAAATTCGTCCTTCCATTTTCTCTCACCTTCCCAGGTCACTTGTGAAATTGTTGGTGAACGGCTTTTTGATATATCAGTTAGAATGGGATGAATGGAATGTGTGGCATGTATGGAAGAAACATGAAATGCATGAAAAATTTTAGTTTGAGGATATGAAAGAAAGAGCACTTGGGAAATGTACGCATAAATGAGAGGATACTGTTAAAATTCACTGTAAAGGAAGAGGATATGATAGTGGACTAGATTTAACTGGCTCAGGATAAGGTTGAGTGGACAGGGTCCTGTGAACACAGTAATAAACTTTGTATCATACAGAACAGGTAATTTCTTGATCAACTGAGCAGATATTAGCATCCTGAGAAGGAGTCTGCTCTGTGGAGACGGTTGTGATGCCTCTACAACATTTACAGGATGATGTACATTTTTAAAATGAACTTTAGCTTATGTTAGTTTCATGTAATACAGCCCTGAATTTAGATTAAAATTTCCTTCTTATATTGATGTTTGTAATGATCATATATGCTGTTTTTAAAATTATTGTGTTACCAATATGTAATTTTAACCCTAAGTTTTATTTTGTTTAGGTTTCAATTATACCTCGGGGCAAAGGATTGGGTTATGCTCAGTACTTACCCAAAGAGCAGTATTTATACAGTAAGGAGCAACTGTTCGATCGGATGTGCATGACACTTGGTGGTAGAGTTTCTGAAGAACTTTTCTTTGGAAGAATAACAACAGGTGCACAGGATGACTTAAAGAAAGTCACACAAAGTGCATATGCTCAGGTGTGTATGTCTTAGTACAACACGTCGTCTTGCCTAGTTACTTCTTTTGCTTCCCAGTCATTGGGCATTAGCAGCCAACAGGGTTTCCTAGTCTATGTATTTGTCTGTCTGTTTATTCCTGTTGCTCCCACTTGGAGCATAAGATATGTGTGAAATGCTGTTTCACTTCAGTTTTTTAATCTTAAATAGTCGGTAGGACTTCTTGCATGGGGAATCAGCCCATCGCAAGGCTGCTACCTGCACAGGACAACACAAACAGAATAAACGCAGACAAACATCCGTGCCTTGAGTGGGATTCAAACCTATGATCCCAGTGTTCAAGTGAGCAAAGATATTTCATGCTTTAGACTGCGTTGCCACTATGATTGGCGGGTTTCCCAGTAGTAGATATAAAATAAGGTTAATGTGTTTATCTCATATGCTTGTAATACCTGTACTTACATATTACACATGAATTGTTGAATTCTCTGTTCTAGATTGTTCAATATGGCATGAATGATAAGGTAGGCAATGTTAGTTTTGACATGCCACAGCCTGGAGAAACGGTTCTTGAGAAACCATATTCAGAGAGGACTGCGCAGATAATAGATTCTGAAGTTCGTGAGCTCATTAAGAAAGCACATGTGCACGCCACCAATTTGCTTACAGAGCACAAGGAGGATGTGGAGAAGGTATGTTACTGTTTCATTAAGAGACTATGTGTCTCTCACAATTATTTATGACTCTGAAGTGTCAGAAGGCCTTGACTCTTTCTGGTTGACTGGCACAGTGGGTACACCATTGATATTTTTCTTCTGACAATCCTACAGTGCACTTCATGCATCAGGATTCTTTTAAGGTCGTTTCAGCTTGTAATGACAAAATTGACATTGTCAGAGTTGTGGGACTTGAAGTAAGTACCTCCATGTATCTGATAGATGGTGGGGGCTGTTTACATTCTTCTTTAGATCCCCAGGAAAGCATTTCATGTTTAAGAGGATCGGAAGTGGTAAATGCTGTTGAGCACTAATGGTGGTGCCCCAGCATATGATTTAGGTCATATCGCATGTGCTTTAAATTTTTAAACAATCTTGGGTCATGTGAAATTTATTGCTTAAATATGGTGTGTGTACACAGGCATAAAACACGGTTCTAAAGTTGAGCCAGTTGGATGAAGTGGTAGTGCTTCTGACTCACATTTGGGTGGAGCCCAGTTTGAGTCTTGGCTGGGACACTGACTGTTTTGCTGAAGGTTTTGTGTGATCTTGCTCAGTCTGTACAGGAGGATGCTGGATGGGACTTCAAAATAGGTCATGACTGCTTCCTCACCAGTTCTGAGTTTACAGAATGTGGTTATACTTTCATATTATTCAGTGAAAACTAATAGCTACAGTTTATATGGAGTTGCCAAATAAATTTATCTGTCCAGCACTTTTCAGAGTTTCTATTTTGTTAAATTTTTCATAGGCGTTAGATAAGAAAACTCACTTTCTTTTTTTTTAACTTCATAAAACTGAGTTTCATAGTTAAATGGATTAATGCATGTTTATGTGCAAGAAAATGAAAATGGAAAATATTTTGCAAAATTTCAAGTTTTATTATTTGGATACATTACGTAACGACAATTAATTGTACAAGAAAAATGAACTTTAAAATTTCACCCATAGACATAAATTTTCATCCCATATATTTACATATATTCTTCCTAGGCTGCATACATCTGCTCTGAAATGCTCGTAAATGTCTTTCAGTCCTCACACAAAGAGAAAGCCTGGTCACTGAAAACTAATGATGTCCAATGTATATCCATCATGCCTTATATCATGACAGTATAAGATTTTTATTTGCTTAACATCAGTATACAACAAATCAAGTGAGTTTGTGTGTCAGTAATGCCTGAAAATTATATTTGGGAAACATCTGGATCAAATCTTGATCTGGCTGCTGCCTATCTTGAGTGAGATTTTTCTTTGTTTTATGTGTTCTGTCCAGGAAAATGCTGGATAATTCCCCGAAATAGGCCATGACTGCCACCTTGCAATTCCCATCGTCTTCCTGTTATATTCAGCAATTTATAATCTCTGCAGCTGAAATAGAGTTAATTGGTGCTGTATAATGTGAGCTCCTGTCTTCTAAGGAAAAGATGGTGACAAAGTGGTGGGTGGAACTGGTTGGAATTGAGATTTCTAGTCTTCGTTAAGGAACATGTCAAGCTTCAGTGTATCAGTATCGGTGATAAGAGTTGTCCAAATATAATGGTAATGTTTTCAGCATGAGCAGTGTAACTGTCCCCTTTATATCTTTGTACTTATTTGCCGGCTTCAGTAGACCACTTGACTCTTATCAGGATCATGTTAAGGTAATAACTGAGGCAACGGGGAAACCGCACATTTAAAGCCAGTCCACTGCTAGAAATCAACAACGCTATTTCTGCTCTCCGCAAATTGTTTATTCAGAAGCGAAATATTGTAACTTCATTAGCAAGTACGGAGTAATGTGCTCTTTTTATTACTTTTAAAGATTAATCGAACCAAATAAAGACTCATAAATTTAGATAAACTTGGAGAGTGCAGCCCAATGATGTCTGCCTCCGATGAATTCAAAACGCCAAGTCCTTTTTTTTTAAGACTGCTATCCTGCGGGAGCGTTGCTTCATCCCCTTTCTAGGATTTTAATCGATGGCCTCTCTCTCAAACAAGAATAGTTTCCTATTGGCTGATTTTAACTGGCCAAATCCATCATGCAATCAGCACCAGACAATCACATAACGAACTTTGAGAATAAAGAGACCCAAAGATATAGAACCCGGAACCCCACATGTGAAAGCGGTTATTTCTTAGTTTAGGGTCCAGTTACACCCTTCCAAAGACACTTTTATGACAGCTACACTGTCAGCAAAACAAAATTTACATCTTCGGCAAGCTACAGACTTGCCTCCCATGGTGGCCTCATCCCTTTTCCGGTCACCCAAGCTGCAGGTAACAAAACTAGGCAGTTGTTTCTGTCCAGATGCGAAAAGCAAGTCATAACATGCTAATGAATTGGTCTCCCCAATAAATCAGTCACTACTGAAATGGCTAAAGAGGACCATAGCGTCCCTTAAAGAGTTGTAAAAGGTTTGGACTGTCACAGCAGTACATGCAGGTAATTGCTTTGTCTTCATTTAAATTTAGTGATGATGACAATGTTGTTAAATAAGCCATAAACAAATAAAAAAATCGTGGTTAAGTAACGCAAAAATCTGTACTGAAGAGATACCTCTGGAGCCAGTACGCATTGAAACAGTAATACAATGGATGGAACTGTGAATTGAATATACTTCACAGTTTCTTAGTTGATATTTTCTTGTATGGATATGACAAGAATCTGTTACAGAATTGTCTTTTTTATCCTACAGATTTTTATGATCACAGACATTCATCATAGTTCAGTTTTTTGGCACATATTTGTTCATAAAGATAATCTTATCCAGCTATAGATGTATCATTATATTGCATCACTGTAGCCTGTTATTTATCGAATTCACTGCAAAATCAGCTATGTTCTAGACCACAAATTTTGTGCTCCCACTGTCACAAAAGATAATATTATCACATGTTGGGTGTATGTCAGGCGACAAATAACTTCACGCCGAATTGGATATAGCGAATTTATTCCACTCGCTTTACATTGACACAATTCACAGTTTCCCAATTACTGCAATCAGCAGTATCACGATTACTTCTCCTGCTGGAGTCCCTGTCATGCACTCGATACAACTCAACTCGTAGCTGCTGGACTTCACCTCTTACTGGATACTGGTAACTGGCTCATTGTAGTAACTCAATACTCAATACTCGCTACTCAATCCTTATGTAGCTTCCACACTGACAACACAGAAAACAGTTACGTGATAGCAACCACTGTTGTGTAACGTCATGTTTACAAGCATTGAACGCCGCAAAGAGTTGTTTATTGCTGTGTAGTTACCATGGTGTCCCCTGTTACATCACAATGAGAAGTGCTGTTACATCACCACGGGAGGCAACGGAGTGTTTACCGAGCGTTGCATAATAATGGAAGGGGTGGAGGTATGTGACGTCACTTGCGAGACTGCAGAGTTCATGTGACCCCTACTTCCCGTTGCGCCATCCAAGTTACAATATTTTGTTTTCTCTGAAGGTATGTTTAATACCAGTGAACCTGTTATAGATTGCAGAACGTTTACTGAAACAAGAGATTTTGAGTCGTAATGACATGATTGAACTGCTTGGACCGAGACCATTTCCTGAGAAATCTACATATGAACAATTCGTGGAGGGTACTGGTTCTTTTGAGGAGGACACAAGTCTTCCAGAGGGTCTGAAAGAATGGAATCAGCCAAGGGACCAGGAAGGTGGCAGTAGGGAAGACGGCAGTGGAAATGGTGAAGGACAGAGTCGCAAAGCAGACTCAACAGCTCCATGATGAGGTGAGAAGTCAGTTAAATAAATACCAAATATAAAAATATCCTCCATTTCTGTCTTTTCTGAAACAATCAGTCTTTGCTATAAATACATTAGAGCACTATATCCCAGCCACTTTTATACAAGGGGTAATTACTTTAAGCCAAATGAACTCTAAGACATGTTTTGTTGTGTAAAATTCCTCTTTCCAACTCTTAGGGCCCCCATACACACACAGTTTGGCCTCCTGTCCGGCCTGCACAGTTGAAGACTGAAAGGCAAAATTAATGTGTGTGATGCGGCAGGCCGGCCAATCGTTTGGACTGTAGGAAACCCCTCAGTTCTACCTGCAGGACGTAGCATGTGACAGGCGGAACGCACGTGTGTGACAATACCGGCAGGCCGATTGCTCAGTTGCTGCTGCTGTCTTGTGTTCTTTAGTAATGTTTCGCGTTGTGTGTCATTTCTTAGAACATGGTATTTTGAAACTTGCACCGTGATTTTGTAGTTTATGCTATGGCGACATGGTCGAAGGACTTTTACTGGAATTTATTGAAGAATTTTGTGGTCATCCTTCTATTTGGAAGGTCAAGCGCAAAGAATACCACAGCCATGAGATGAAAGAGAGTGCTTATTTAGCACTGATGGGAAAAATCAAAACAATTGATCCCCAAGCTAACAAACTGTGTTGAAAAAGATCAACAATCTACTTAGCAGTTTCAGAAAGGAACGGAAGAAAGTATTGATGGCTAAGAAATCTGGAATGAGTAGCGAAGGCCTCAATGTCTCGAAATTGTGGTACTACAAAGATTTGTTGTTCCTGGTAGACCAAGAAGAGGTCATGAACAGGTTTTCAAGTCTTGTTAGTTATACAGAGGTAAGTGGTGTAATTAAAATCAAACTTTTATTGAATGTTAAAAATTATAGATTACAATGCTAAACAATAAATAATTCTGTGCATGTTAAAGTTTTTTACTACTAAATGTATGGAATCAGAGCCTTGTGCCTGGAGGTACTGTTTTTAAAAACAGAACTTATCTTGCCATGGAACTTTACCCGTGTTGAAATACTCCAAAAACAACTCTCTTACAAGTTTTGCATCCTGGGAAGGAAAATACCGCTGTTGTCTTTCCAGATCCATAAATTGACTGCAGCGATAACCAGGTGTAACATTCCCAGTTTCAAAATCCTCATCATCCACACACTCCAGTGGTGTGTACTGATTCGGAATCTTGCTGTGCAAAAACAGAACTTATCTTGCCATGGAACTTTTCCCTCATTGAAATGCTCCAAAAACAACTCTCTTACAAGTTTTGCATCCTGGGTAGGAAAATTCGCTGTTGTCTTTCCAGATCCATAAAGTGACTGCAGCGATAACCAGGCGTAACATTCCCAGTTTCAAAATCTTCATCATCCAAACACTCCAATGGTGTGTACTGATTTGGAATCTTACTGCTCAAAAAACAGAACTTATCTTGCCATGGAACTTTTCCCTCATTGAAATACTCCAAAAACAACTCTCTTACAAGTTTTGCATCCTGGGTAGGAAAATTCGCTGTTGTCTTTCCAGATCCATAAATTGACTGCAGCGATAACCAGGCGTAACATTCCCAGTTTCAAAATCTTCATCATCCACACACTCCAGTGGTGTGTACTGATTCGGAATCTTGCTGTGCAAAAACAGAACTTATCTTGCCATGGAACTTTTCCCTCATTGAAATGCTCCAAAAACAACTCTTACAAGTTTTGCATCCTGGGTAGGAAAATTCGCTGTTGTCTTTCCAGATCCATAAAGTGACTGCAGCGATAACCAGGCGTAACATTCCCAGTTTCAAAATCTTCATCATCCAAACACTCCAATGGTGTGTACTGATTTGGAATCTTACTGCTCAAAAAACAGAACTTATCTTGCCATGGAACTTTTCCCTCATTGAAATACTCCAAAAACAACTCTCTTACAAGTTTTGCATCCTGAGTAGGAAAATTCGCTGTTGTCTTTCCAGATCCATAAATTGATTGCAGCGATAACCAGGCGGAACATTCCCAGTTTCAAAATCTTCATCATCCAAACACTCCAATGGTGTGTACTGATTTGGAATCTTACTGCTCAAAAAACAGAACTTATCTTGCCATGGAACTTTTCCCTCATTGAAATACTCCAAAAACAACTCTCTTACAAGTTTTGCATCCTGGGTAGGAAAATCCGCTGTTGTCTTTCCAGATCCATAAATTGACTGCAGCGATACCCAGGCATAACATTCCCAGTTTCAAAATCCTCATCATCCAAACACTTCAGTGGTGTGTACTGATTCGGAATCTTGCTGTACAAAAAATTTGCAGGGCACAGCAGGCCATAACAGTATGGCGGACGCTAGTCAAATCTATGATAGAGATGGGTTTCTGTAATACCGCAAATCTCTCCACAATGATACCAAAAACACTCAATCACTTGCCGAGCTCTAGACAAACGGTAGTTGAATATCTTACAGGCTGGTGTGTTTACTTTACAGCTGAAAGGCTTCGTGATGTCTTTCCTTAGTGGAAAGGCATCATGTGCTACAAGAACAAAAGGCATATTTCTCCCAGCAACAATTGTTTCCTATGGCACATTCAAACTTCCACTTTCAAGTGTCCTCTAGAAGTCTGTGCTTTGAAAAAACTCCACCATCAGACACATGCCCATTTGATCCAAAACTGAAGTATAATAACTCATAATTGGCGTTTGCAACTCCAAATAAAACCTGGCTTTAAAAATATTTATAGTTGAAGAAGAATGATCCAGCCCCTGGAGGAGGCGTGATAGCCACATGTTTTCCATCCATGGCTCCTATGCAGTTGGGAAACTGCCATTGATCTTCAAACGCCTTAGCAACTTTCTTCCACTCCTCTTGCGATGTAGGGCACTATAAAAACAGATGACAGAAGGCACTGAGAGGAAGAGAGAGACACATACAAACAGAGAGGGAGATTAACATGCTTGGGGTGTAACTGTATTTTTGTGTTTTGTTGTTTACAGGACTTAGAAGAAACAGAACAAGAAATTACACAAAACTCAGTCTCTCCAGGCCTTTCAGCGCACTCCTCTGTTTCAAATCAAAATGCAGAATTAAACATCACCACTGGTCCAGACATCTACCACAGTCCCATCTCTTCCTACGGCTGTTCATTCAAACGTAAAAAGAATCTGTATGCTAGTGATCAGATACTCGTGGCAGTGGGTGATCAATTGGCTCAAGTGAAAAATGAGGACAAATTTGACTTTGATTTGTTTCATTCTGGTCCTTCACACTAACAGTATTGCAAATGATAAAACAATTCCATCCAGTGTGACTGTTGAAGCTTTTACTACTTCACTTCTTAGCACCCTAACATATTTCGGTCCCTATAGACCATCATCAGAGGGAACATCGACTACTATTACATTGGGTGTTTTGATTTTTAAAATACATAAATACAGTCAACTCTCGATTATCCAGGATAATGGTTTCCAGGCATGGAAATCACGATTAATTGAAAACGTGGTTAAGACAAATATTATTAAAAGTAGTACTGTAATACTGTACCTTCATAATACTATAGGTCTACCTGTATTTAAATTTACTCAACCTCATTTTTATGTCATCTCATGGCCTATTTAATACTTTTTTTACATTATACTGAAGTGTGAATTAGTTATTTCAATCACAGTGTTCAACAGCATCCAACACTTTTTACGAATATTCACACTTAACACACAAAAAAAAAGTAATATTGTCGTTTGCTTTTTCGTGGTATTTTCCTTTTTACGGATATCCGTACGAAGCCTACGTAATATTAGCTTGTCACTTAATGAACTGTTCTCTTCACTCTCAAGATAGTGTAGTAAGGATTCCAAATGATTAAGAGCAGCACCAAGTGATATTTTCTTACTAGCAGCACTGTCCACCTCTTCCTCATTCTCACTTTCTTCCCGCTCTTCTGGCTGCAGCCCCACTGAACTTACGGTTTCGTCACTGCTTAACATTTCGAAGCCCGGCTCATACGAGTTTCTGTTGAATACTTAACACGACACGCTTCCTTTTACACCCTGACATTTTGCTAACGCACTTGAAGATCGATACAAAGTAACCAACTGGGGCAGTATATCTGTTCTTGAAACTTTCCACAAATCCTTGCATTCTTTCACCCCTACCCTAGAACATTGTGTTAGCATAACCGGACCAAAGAAAGCAGAGCTCGGTTCACACTAGTGTGAAAATAGTGTTTCAACTCACCATGTGAAA